TATGTATATACGTCTCACTCTATATATGTATATACGTCTCACTCTATGTATATACGTCTCACTCTATATATGTATATACGTCTCACTCTATGGATATACGTCTCACTCTATATATGTATATACGTCTCACTCTATGGATATACGTCTCACTCTATGGATATACGTCTCACTCTATATATGTATATACGTCTCACTCTATATATGTATATACGTCTCACTCTATGGATATACGTCTCACTCCATACATGTATATACGTCTCACTCTATGGATATACGTCTCACTCTATATATGTATATACGTCTCACTCTATATATGTATATACGTCTCACTCTATGTATATACGTCTCACTCCATACATGTATATGTCACGATTCGGGGAACCTAACACGCCAACACACACACACACACACAGAAAAGGTGCCGTACCGGACCTTAGAGTGGCCAGGCTAAGCACACACAGAATAGTCAGGAGACAAACCGAGTAAGGGGAACCAGAAGACAGAATAACGTTAAAACGAGCCGAGGTCAAAGGGTAGGAGAAAGTCACAAAGTCAGATTAACAAGCCAGAGAGTACGTAACCAGAAGCACAAGGTAAGTAGCAATACAAGTAAGCAAAGACCACAACAGGGCAGGGAGGAACAGGAAAGGTAAGTATTTAAACCAAAAGGTTAATTCTGATTGAATAATTTCCAATCAGAATTAACAATCACACGTGGGAGATATCTAAACCTCCCACTGTGATTGAGACACTGTGCCTTTAACGCCGGGTCAGGTGACTGACCCCGGCGTGTAATAACTTGAGCGGTCTCCCAGCGTGCAGCGTCATGTATGCTGCCGCTGGGGGACGTGGAGAAAACGGCGGGCGGCATCCGAGACTGGAAGGATGCCGCTCGCCGAGCCCACGAGGAGGAGGGGACCGCGGACGGCTGGAGGGTGAGTACTGCGAGCGGAGTGCAGCCTCCCCTTGCAGCCGCACGCGGGATCCCGACAGTATATACGTCTCACTCTATGGATATACGTCTCACTCTATATATGTATATACGTCTCACTCTATGGATATACGTCTCACTCTATATATGTATATACGTCTCACTCTATATATGTATATACGTCTCATTCTATGGATATACGTCTCACTCTATATATGTATATACGTCTCACTCTATGTATATATGTCTCACTCCATACATGTATATACGTCTCACTCTATATATGTATATACGTCTCACTCCATACATGTATATACGTCTCACTCTATGGATATACGTCTCACTCTATATATGTATATACGTCTCACTCTATGGATATACGTCTCACTCTATATATGTATGTTACAAACTGCCATTTGTAACTGTTATTTTATTTGACAAATTGCCCTGCTTCCCTGTGTTATGGAGAAGCCTAATTGCCAGCCTTCTGCCCCATGACTATGGACCTAGTGTGTATGGCGATTTGACTGTATTTGTGGGATCTGAGCGCTGTTTGGATATATTGAGCGCTCATATCCAAGCCATCTGGGGATAGGTTGAATGTGGGGGTTCTGTTCAGTTCAATAGGAGTTATGTATTTTTGTGTCTTTTTGTGTCTTTTGCTAACATGTGGTTAATGGAGTCTGCCTCTATCCCTGGATAATTGGATTACTTTCCCCATTGTCCAGGATAGAGGCCTCTGTAAAACCAGTTTGGGCCAGAAAACCATGCTGCCAGCCAGACCCCAAAAGACACTTTTGCTAACTTTTGAACCCCTTGTCTGATTTGTGCCACTTTTTAATATGTTGCTCCCCTTAATGGATTGATTCCAAATATGTAATTTTTATGAAGATTGGATGTGTAGTTTGGAAGTTATAGCACATGTATAAAAACTGTATTTTTACTGTTCTGTTTTAATTATGTTATGTGATTATCTGAGGGATGGGAATTTCCCCGAATGTATATTGTTCCGATTGGTTATACTGCTAATTATGTGGGTGTCTCCCTTGCATGGGCAGAATCTCATAAAAGCAGAGTGTGTGCCATTAAACATCAGATCTTCTTGACCCTCAATACGTAGCCTTGTCTCGTTATTGGAGGGAACTGCTATATCACACTGGGGATTGCTATGCTCTGCATACTCCCCTGAGCTTTTAATCACTTAGCTCTTTTAAGAGCTGTTCCTGTTACGCTCTCCTGGAGGAGAGGTCTTCCCCACACGGTCCTGGAGGACAGAAGCTGATCCAGGGTGGAAGGAAGACGGCGAGACTCCAGTTAAGCTACGGCGGTTGTGGAGTCTGCGGTGGTTGTGGTGTCGGCTGCAGTGTTTGGAGTCCTCAGGAAGCGCTAGGAGCATCCATCAACGGAGGGTACTCGGTTGGAGTACAAGGAGCTCCGTTACAATGTATATACGTCTCACTCTATGGATATACGTCTCACTCTATATATGTATATACGTCTCATTCTATGGATATACGTCTCACTCTATATCTGTATATATGTCTCACTCCATACATGTATATACGTCTCACTCTATATATGTATATACGTCTCACTCTATGTATATACGTCTCGCTATATATATGTATATACGTCTCACTCTATATATGTATATATGTCTCACTCTATGTATATACGTCTCACTCTATATATGTATATACGTTCACTCTATGGATATACGCTCACTTATATATGTATATACGTCTCACTTCTATGGATATACGCTCTCACTCTATATATGTATATACGTCTCACTCTATATATGTATATATGTTCTACTCCATACATGTATATACGCTCACTTTATATATGTATATATATCTCACTCTATATATGTATATATGTCTCACTCTATATATGTATGTATATATGTATATACGTCTTCTATATATGTATATACGTCTCACTCTATGGATATACGTCTCACTTTCTATATATGTATATACGTCTCACTCTATGTGTATATACGTCTCTACTCTATATATGTATATACGTCTCACTCTATGTATATTCGCCTCACTCTATATGTATATACGTCTCACTCTATGTATATACGTCTCACTCTATATATGTATATATGTCTCACTCTATGGATATACGTCTCACTCTATATATGTATATACGTCTCACTCTATATATGTATATATGTCTCACTCCATACATGTATATACGTCTCACTCTATATATGTATATACGTCTCACTCTATGTATATACGTCTCACTCTATATATGTATATACGTCTCACTCTATGTATATACGTCTCACTCTATATATGTATATACGTCTCACTCTATGTATATACGTCTCACTCTATATATGTATATACGTCTCACTCTATGGATATACGTCTCACTCTATATATGTATATACGTCTCCCTCTATATATGTATATATGTCTCACTCCATACATGTATATACGTCTCACTCTATATATGTATATACGTCTCACTCTATGTATATACGTCTCACTCTATATATGTATATACGTCTCACTCTATATATGTATATATGTCTCACTCCATACATGTATAAACGTCTCACTCTATATATGTATATATGTCTCACTCTATATATGTATAAACGTCTCACTCTATATATGTATATACGTCTCACTCTATATATGTATATACGTCTCACTCTATGTATATACGTCTCTCTCTATATATGTATATATGTCTCACTCTATATATGTATATACGTCTCACTTTATATATGTATATACGTCTCACTCCATACATGTATATACGTCTCGCTCTATGCATATACGTCTCACTCTATATATGTATATATGTCTCACTCTATATATGTATATACGTCTCACTTTATATATGTATATACGTCTCACTCCATATATGTATATACGTCTCACTCTATATATGTATATATGTCTCACTCTATATATGTATAAACGTCTCACTCTATATATGTATATATGTCTCACTCTATATATGTATATATGTCTCACTCTATATATGTATATACATGATTCACAGAGTATTTTCCCTTAGCCTACAATTATGTACAATTGTAAAAGAAATGCCTTTATTACAAATACATTTTGTTTGCAATTACTGCCATTTGTGGTCCCAGACAACAGAGAAGGATCTACCATTATAGATCCAGATCTCCTTAGTGCACCTGCAGCT